TATATTAAATAATATTATAATAATATTTATTAAGACTGTACACGCGAATTTTATAAAAAAGTTATTTTATTACATATTCCAATATTTTCAAATGGGAACTAAATTTTGGTGATTTTCCACTAATTTTTAATTCAAATAATAATTATTTTGCAGAATATTGATTACTACAGTAACTGTAGTACAGTTCCTGACATTACTATTAATACCTGGCCATACACAGGCGTTATTTCACGCGGTTTATCGTGGCGTGTTGGGATGTAGCGGTTAGTATGCACGAAAGAACGGCATGGCAAAAAAAGCGTCATGTTCCGTACACTTGATAAAGTATTCAAATGATTTAGCAAGTGATTGCCCGTGGTATATCAGATTCAAAGGAAAAATCGTATGTGAGTGGGCAAAAAGTGTCATTTGGTAAATTCTCATATAACTTGTTTCGATGCTGTATCCACTTATTTTTGTGAAAACTAATTCTCGCTCAAGGTTTTTTTTAGTGTAATGAGCATGTAGCATTTTAAGGTAATGGGAACTTAAATTATGACAACCCTAATCTATTAATTTTTTTCTAAAATGCAGGCTTTATGTTGCAAATGTCACGTAAGTTACCGGTCACCAACTGCAATATCCTAACATTGATGAATATTTTAACAAAATGGCTGTTGAAACAACTAATGTTAGTGCTTGATTAACTAAAAATAGACTTAAGATTGACGAAAAATTATTTTATCCGAAATCGGCAGTAAAGTAGAACTTTACTGCCGATTTATTTTAATTTACGATTGTTGACTACTTTACTGCCGATTTCGGATAAAATAATTTTTTGTTAATCTTAAGTCTATTTTTAGTTAATCAAGCACTAACATTAGTTGTTTGAACGGCCATTTTGTTGAAATATTCATCGGTGTTAGGATATTGCAGTTGGTGACCGGTAACTTACGTGACAATTGCAACATAAAGCCTTCATTTTAGGAAAAAATTAATAGATTAGGGTTGTCATAATTTAAGTTCCCATTACCTTGAAATGCTACATGCTTATTACACTAAAAAAAACCTTGAGCGAGAATTAGTTTTCACAAAAATAAGTTGATACAGCATCGGAACAAGTTATATGAGAATTGACCATTTATCGAGTCGTTTGAAACTGCATGTGATCATGTACAAATTTTCAACGTGAAATTTTGCCAAGCAAAGGTAAACCGTGACGCGGAATGTGGCGTGTGGACACACTCCAGAGGAAAGCACGTCTGAAATCCCTTCCCGTTCTATCATTGCGCGCGGCGATACTCACTCACGTACATGATTTCCCATATGTTTTTGCAAATAACACGATAAACCGCGCGCAAAAACGTCTGTGTATGGCCAGCTATTGTCACAAAAACAACTATTGCTGTTTTCAAAGTAACCCCTCATGTTTTATTGGAAATTGTATTAATTTAAATGGTACACTGATCTGACATTGACATTGTATATTAAGTTGATTAGTATTCTTGATTAATGGTTACTGTTTTCTTTTTTTCCGTGTAATAGACAAAATTGTGCATTTATGTTTGGAAGACTTATAAGGATTATTATTGGCGGAATTTATGTGATTGACTATTTTTTGCCCTGGGCGAAAAATGCTCTAACTAGGCAATTGATCTTTAGATCTTTAGAATAAAATTTATTAATATATTATATTTAATATTCTTAAAAAATAAAATTAAATTTTTAAATTCTCGATCTCAATAAAAAATATTTTTTATGCTTAAAATAATAATATTTGGGAAACTGCAAAATTTGTTTTTTACAGTATTTAAATAAATTGCGTTATAATATATGTTATTGTAATGTGTACGTCATTAAAAATTAAATTATGCAAATACGATATTGAAACTCCAAGGTAAAGTGATAAACTGTATGCACCGGAACATCAAAATTTAAAACACACTAGGTCGATAAATGGGTACAAATAGAAATACTGATAAATGGAAATTATGCATATACATTGTTATGCAATTCCCCATAAAATATTATGACATTGCAAAAATTATAATTATCAAACTGTTTTTAAACATAGAGCATTTTAAAATAGCGTTAGGAGGTCAACAAATTAAAATTTTCGTGTAGGTTTTATCATTTTAACCCAATCGAATTGAATATACTACTAGCTAAATACCTAAGGATAATTAAGAGGTTTCTTTATTTGTGCGTTCTAGTCCTGTTTCAAGACCTAATACATCAAATTTCATCAAAATCCGTTGAGCCGTTAAAAACTTTCAAAAATGGCGAATGCATCGGGATTAATTATAACTATATTTTGTAGGTCCCAATTTGGAAATTCCAAAAATCCTTTCTTAGAGGTTATATAAATTAGACATGAAAATAAATAAGTCAAAATTCAAATTATCTTCAAAAAAGTAAATAACAAAAAAAAATCAAAACAGTAATTGTTTTTTTCTCTTTTCTTTTGTTTTGGCCCCAGTTTTCCATTACTATAATTGATTTCCAATACTTATCTTTGAATTAAATTTATTGGTAAATATTTGTTTGCAACCATATACTAGTATAAATATCTTTATATATTTTTTGAGTTAAGTGATACATAACTATATAACATAACTATATAACTATGTTTCGTTCTACGGCTATTGTTACCATATGTTGAAACTAAAATTTGACGAATGAAAATACAAATTGTATGCTAACATGCGTATATTAAAAATATAAAATGATTATTGTTGACGTTTTAGAATAAACTAAAATTGTTATTTTTATAAAACTACATTCGAATGTATGTTTGTAAAACTCTGCTTGCAATATTAGAAATTTGCAAAAAATATCATTATTTAAAAATCAAGGTGTAATACTTTAGTTCATTTAAAAATACATTTTCATTTGAATTAGTAATTTGGAAAACTAGGTCTACATTCGCAAATAGTTTTGGCACCCAAAGCAATTTTACTTTCTTTGTTTTTGTGTTTAGTTCATTGAAATACGTTTATTTTTATTTCATTATTATATTTAAATATACTGTTTTTACATATTTTTTTACTAAACATATAAACATTATAGTCGTTTAATTAACTTTTAATTTTAGGAAAAGTCCGAAAAACCAGCAGTTTCTGGAAAATGATGTTTAAATTTAATAATAAATTGATATTTTAACAAAAGAACAAACTATCTTTTTAGTATAAAGGTATTATTTAATTTTGAAGTATCTAATCTTTATATAAGAAGGGGTAAAAAGCAAAAGGGTGCGTGAAATTTGTACGACTTTTGCAGTATTCAGATTTTTGTATAAAGCAAAAACTTTAAAAGTTAATAACTCCACTTCTTTTATAATTCTTCTGTACTTGTGCACTTGTCACTGAACTCCTCCTAAACCGACCGATCAGGGTTGCCAGGTCAAAAAAATCTTGTTAAAAATAACCAGATCGTTTAAAAAATTACTAGATTTTGATAAAATTTATTTATTTTAAATATTACTATAAATTTAAAAAAAACACATTCAAATAAATAAATATTTAATAATGTATATTATGTAAACATATAAAAAATAAATTTATTCTAGGTAACATGTTTTATAAAATGTTGTATATAAAAATAAAACAAATCTTTCATATAACTTAAAATCTCTCTAAACAAAACTGAGAGTAAATTATAAAAAATAACATTATATCACAAATAATACTAATTACATAGAACAAAAAACATTGCAATTTAATGTAACAAAATAAAATGTGATAAAATTTAAATTTCATTTTGGTACATTAAATTGCAATGTTTCTTTAGCATATATTTGCTAATGTTAAAATTATAACAGCAGCAACCGTCATTGTTAACTAATCTTTTAGCATAAAAAATTCAATTTAAAGTGTTAACAGCCAAACTATTTCTGATTTTCGTTTTATTATTATTAATAATCGAAAAAAATCGTTCTACAGAAGCACGCGTGCGGTAGAGTAAAAATTAATTTGACAAATTTGATCAAATAATAAATAAATAATAACGACATAACCCTAGTCTAGCGACTTGCAGGGGGGCCAACATACATCAAGGTAAACTAAACTAGGCAACCCAGTTTACTTGTCTGCTCATTCAAATCTACGATTTACTAATTTATTACAAATTTTGATTTATCACTAAATTTAGCTATTTTTTAAAAAGTCATCCACATCACCAAATACAATCTAAAATTGCCAGAACTGGTGACAAATCACCAGACCTAGCATCCCTGCGACTGATTTTGATAAAAAATGTTGTGTGTGTTTGAGTAGGTCCCTGGATGGACCCGGTAGGTGTCGCTGCAATGGGGTTTTAGCCAACGTTCAGGCAGGACATCGTCTAGACGCGTCTGTGGGATTCGCTAGTTAATTATATGTTTTTAAAAACAGATTTATGTTAACCTTTATCGACGGCGTCCCCAGACAATGGGCCAGGGACGGCAAGATGATAGATAGGGGATATGAATTGTAGGGTAAATAAATACAACTTGTTGTGTACAATCAAAGCTTCGGCTTCGGCAAAAAATGCAACCTTTGGCTAAAATTTGAGTTGAAGGTTTAGCCGAAGCCAAACATTTAACTCAATTTTAGCTAAAGCCGAATGTTTTGCGGAAGGTTAATTTTTTTATACATTTATTTAATTAAATTATATACCTACGGCTTCGGTCGAAGGTCATAAAATAACCGAACATCGGCCTCAGCCGAAAAACTCACCTTCGGTAATTTAATAAAGGTACAAAAAAAACCTTTATTATGAATAGATTCAGTATTGCCAACATATTCGTTCTATGATTAAGTTTAATTTGGGAAAGAGCGTCATAATAGTTATTTATGTCATTAGGCCAAGAAGAGAGTCTTTTTGTGCTGAGCTCAAAGTTTGACAATTAAGCGAAGCACAAAAATATCTTCTGGGCCTAATTTAAAAGTTTAATTTATATACCGCTTGAAGATAAAATAATTTTAAAAGTAAATTCCCTTCAAGCAAAATATGTAAATAATATGTATTTTTTATTATTTCAGGACTAGTTTGAGCAATAGTGAAAAAGGAACTAGAAAACATTAAAAATGGTAAGTTTCTTTTAATTTAGTCTTGTGAATCTATAGGATAATTTTTCTTTTAACCATTTCATTACTTTTATACAAACAAATTAACAATAGTTTTTCAATATTTATTTTTAATTTAATTGTACTTGGTGTCCCGTACCATTCTATTCGAAATATTTTTTTTATATTTAAGCAATTAAACATTTAATTAATAAAATTAAATAATCCTCGCCTAATAGCGGTTGTTATGAAAACAAAACAAATAAGAGAGAGAAACTTAATTAGGGTTGAATTGATTCAGTTATTTAATTCGTAAATTGAATCACTCAAGAACTAATTTTAGGGGGCCGAGGATGGCGCAGTGCGTTAAAGCTACAGAGCGGTAATCAATCTGCGCCACGGTACCGGGTTCGATTCCCGGTCACAGCCTTGGGTGTTGTGGTTGTTTATTAAACAAAAATAAATACCTATCATGAGCTGGCTAAATAGTCTTCAAAAGACTAAAAGTCAATAAAAAAAAAAAAAAAACTAATTTTAGATGTAATTTTACTTAAATTTCATTGGAAAAAGGGTATACCCGTGTTTTATAAGAAATGATGTCTCGATATTATAGGAAATTATGTCTTTCCACCCTAAATGTATCGAATTATGACAAATATATAATCTTGAAAGTCGTTAAAGCCCTGAGACTTTTAATAAAGCAGTGGAGACGGCATACATTTATCAGTCTGGCATTAGTGAAGGTAAGGCTAACTCTGAAATTGTTTAGTGGGCTTCAGAGACTTATTTAAAATAAAGACACTTGCATACTAAGTCCAAATATAAAAATGAAAAACAAAAAATATGATATTAAATGATTATGTAAATAATAGTTTATGATAACAAAAACAACAATAAAACAATTAAGTAAGATGCAGTTCTTTATTACATAAAAGTAATTATTTATTACAATGTATGTCATAAAGTCATTCATTGTTTTTACAATGATAAAGTGAAATATGAATAAAAACTCATTCTCGTAAACTCGTAAACTATTTTTTCATTATACCATGTTGATAAGAAATATCGTAGATAGCTTTCTTTGATTTACAAAGGCTCAACACTAAAATAATCCTTTAAAAGGTAAAGTGTATGTCAAATTTTTAATCAAAAACATTAAACTAATTACAGTACAGTACGTCGGTTGGTCAATGGCATTCGAGCAGCATGGGTAGACTCAAACAACTTTGGAGCAAACATGCAAAAACCGATAAATACATTTTTACATTTTAAGAGTATAGTACCAATTGTTACTAATTTTGGTAAACTCTTTTGACTTGGCACAGCATTTTAAGGAAAACCCGAAACAGAAACAACCCAACAGGAGCAACATTCCCTTTTAATAGTTATTAAATATTTGGGGGACTCGGCTATACACATTTTTGGCCAATACCTTAAATGGATTTATCGGCTTTTGAATATTTGCTTCATAATTGCAAAGAGTACAGCTTCTAAGCAGGATTAAACAAACCACATTAACAGAGCCTTAATAGTGCTTAAGATCTTTAATTCCCAAGGTAAAATGGTTAACTGGCCCCCAAAGTAAAACTATTAAGTACTAAAACCATTAAGATAAACGATTATTGTAGTTAATACACACACTTCCGTAGGAGTTTTTCTGGACTAAAGTTGATAAACCTTGACAGTATCGTCAACCGTAAATTACAAACAACGCAAACATATTGGAACAGCGTTAAGTAAGCGTAATGTTGCTCGATTATTAATATGTGAATGAAATAACAAACAAAGATGTTCTAGATTTAAATCAAAATTTTTTAATCCATCAAAATAACTAGGTATATCTAAGATTTATTCAAGTTTTACCATTCAATTTTATTCCAAAATATACCAAAAAACAGGTTATGGATAAAAAATAAAATAATCCAATATCTAATGATGACCACTCTTCTTGACCGTTTTGTTAAAGCTATTACTACTAACTCCAGCCAACCCATGTTGGCCAACCTTTATTACTTTATAAAGTAATAAAGGTTGGCCAACATGGGTTGGCCAATGGTACTTTAGTATACAATAGGGCTACAATAGTACTATTAAAAATCGACAACCGGGCATCACAAATAAGATATGCCTACAAAAAGATTGTTTATTAAAACCAAACAAAAAATGTAGCAAACCAAACGTGTATTAATACATTATTTTTGGAAAATTAAATGTATTAAGCATAAAACCAATGAAATCTCGCTGAGTTTTAAAAAAATTAAATTAAATATTTTTAGTGTCAGTGGGGAACCCTGTAAAAAGTTTTTTAAATACATTTCTCTAAGGCATTCGATCGAGTTGAACATTCCATTTTACTTCGGAGATTATGCGAGGTTGGTTTTGACCTAAAAATTGTTAATTTGTTTCGTTCATATCTTCAAAATAGGTCTCAGTATGTATTCTATAACGACTTTAAATCTTATAGTTATATTGCAAGTTCCGGTGTTCCTCAGGGTTCCAACTTGGGACCTCTGTTATTTAACATATTCATTAACAACCTATCCCAATCACTAACCTCCGAACATCTTTTATTTTCCGATGACCCCAAAGTCTATCGGATTATTAATGACATCGAAGATTGCAAAAAACTACAAACTAAATTAAATCATATTAACGACTGGTGCAGTAACAACAATTTATCAATGAATGTAAAAATATGCAAAATTTGTTCATTCAATTTAAAAGCAAACCCTATCATTTATCGATTTAAATTTGACAAAGACTATCTAGAGCGTACAACCTCAATTAGAGACCTTGGAATTATTTTCGATTTATAGTTATCATTCTCAGATCACATACAATCTATACACTGAGAAAAAATGGGACAAATAAACTGTGTAGCTAATACTTTTATTTATAGTGAATATATTGTTTATTACCTCTAAATAGTCGAAATAATAACGATAAATATACTTTAGTAAAACTTTATATGTCGGGAATAAAAATATATTTAGGATAAATAAACTGTACCCGTGTCCCATATTTAAATATTTTTTTATTTGGGAGCAATAAACTTTTTTCTCAGTGTAGTTAGTTCTGCCTTTTCCACTCTGGGTTTCATAATTCGTAACTGCACAAACTTCACCAACATTCATACATACAAAATGTTATATTGTTCACTCGTTAGGTCTAGACTTGAATATGCGTCTCTAGTTTTTTATCCTTATTACAACATATACATTGATAAAATTGAGAATGTACAGAGACGTTTTCTAAAATATTTGTCGTATAGATTAGATGGAGTATATCCTCAAAGAGGTATTGAGCAAGAACACTTGCTCTCAAAATTTAATTTACTTTCTCTTAAAGATAGACGATTTATATATAGTCAAGTTTTAAATTATTACACAATCAAATCGACTCACCAACTCTCTTGTCAATGCTAAACATATACCCAGAGTAAACTCACGTCATCGCATAACTTTTTTAAATAATATGTCAAAATCTAATGTTTCATTAAATTCTCCCAATAATGTTATTTCGCGAAACTTTAATTTAATCTGTAATTTATGTGATATTTATACCTGTTCAATATCTGCTTTACAACATGTTTGTTTCACTTATATACATACAAAGCAACAATTATTAGATTATTATGCATTTAATGTTATTACTAATTTTTATTGTAATTTTGTCCTGTTATTGGATTTTCTGTTGGGCAAATAAATATTACATTATTATTATTATTTTTATTATTATTATTATTATTATTATTATTAAATGCAAATGAATTATGATTGTTTTTATTAAACAACTATTCATTTATTTTTTATCCAAATTTTATTTATTAAAATCAAATAAAAAATATATATTTAATTTAATATGCAGTTTTGTATTAAAACAATTAAAATAAAACTAATAAAAACAAATTTAATCTTATAAAATTACTTGCGAAAATATTTACAGATTGTACCGAAAATGGCGTAATAACGCCATATTACGCGGTGTAGTTGCAACATGTTAGTTGTTTTTAAGTTAAACGTTAGCCTTATTTTCAAAGGGTTGATAAAATTATAAATTTTCTTTCACACGTAGAATTGAGACATTATACGCTCGAAAATAATGAGCAAAGGAAGCTATTGTACACCAGTTAAATAATGACATTATTGTTCTACTAGCGGAATTATGAAAAATAATAAAAAAAATGAAATTTAAAACAATCAATTACAGCTTTATTTACATACAGATAATACATATGATTTTAATTTAATATCATATTTTTTAGTTTTTAATTTGTGTATTTGAGACTTAGTATGCAAGTTTCTTCAGTTTAAATAGGTCTCTGGCGCCCACTAAACAATTTCAAAGTTAGCCTTACCTTCACTAATGCCCGACTGATAAATGTTAGCTGTCTGCACTGCTTTATTAAAAAATGTCAACCATGTCAACCTCACCTGCATTATTTAAATAATTACCATAACAACCATTTTTAAATGTGTTGTTTAGCTTATTAAACACACAGTATTACCATTTTTTTAACTTAAATGATTGACCCAAAAAGTACTCATCGGAATAAAAATCATAATGTTTTTTGTATTATATGAAAATTTATACAATTTTCGTATAATATTATTCTGTGAAGTTATGGAAAATAATATATAATAATATTCTCTTCATTTCACAAAAAATTTCGAATTTTACCCAGAGTTTTTCGTAAATAATTATTTAATTCTCTAAGCAATATGATGCTCAAAATTAATTGTGTAATTAATACCAACCTAAAATAATAGAAAATTTAAATTAATCTATAAACATGAACTTATCTTTCTATAAATATTTTTTTTTTCAGACGGAAAAAACAAAAGTCAATGGCAATGCCACTGAAATGGATACGTTTTTGCCTCAAGATAATTCAAATTCAAATGGAGTAACAACGTAAGTACCTTTCGTGGAAACAAATTAAATATTTTTTGATTTTATTTTATTGGAAAATTTTGCTGAAACCTCTTGAACTTAAGTACATCTATGTGACAAGGCACTTCATAATTATAAGTATAAAAACTAGGGCTTTGATTATGCAAATTACTTTTTTAATGCACTAACTAGATTTAGGTTAAGTGTAACGATATAGCGATTAATCTTGTCACAATGTATTTATATTTAATGATAACTACGTCTCCAGGACAAAATACTGAAAACCAATGGAAATGTAAGGTCAATTCTTCGTCGATAAAAATATCGATGAATTTTGTAAACAATGTGTATAAATTTAACTTAATTTGTGCAATGTATTTTATTCAACGTGTTATTGTTAATAGCAATGTTTCGTTCTTTATTGAGTGTTAAAGAGTGCCTTTTTGTCAGTGTCAACGATGATTTTGAGAGGACTACGCTCCTTAAAAAAGTGTCGACAAAGAATCAATTGAAATCAGCTAATTATTCGCCTATTTCCAGGTACAAAGTTACCAAGAGCAATGACTTGGAAGCCCACAATCCAGACTATGACCCATTTAAGTCCAGAAATTTGGAACATCCCGTCTCGTAAGTAAAATCTCTACTTTTTATAATAAAACAATAGTTTAATTTAAACATTTTATTCTCTGTTGTACATTTAAAATAAAAATCATTACAATGGTAAAGGTAATAAACATACCTATGTTATATTGTTAATATAATTTAAATATATATTTATTGTTTAGAAATCGGAGAAATTTATAATCCTTTTAAAAAATCCTTTTGTTTCAATAAGGATATTTTAAAAATCCTAGGTCAAGAATTGATGTAAGTCTGTTTAAAAAATATGGCTTGTAATTTTAAAATAAATGACAATATGTACCAATAATTAAATAAAAATAAAATTACTATATAGGTATTTTATATTTTACTATTTTATAAACTTAACTTATATTTTTAATAATTTATAAATTCATTTTATTATTTTTTTTGTGCCAAATCACTAGTTCATTCTTTTTTATTTAAACTTTGATTTAGTAAAAAATAAATCCTTAGGATTTAATAATGCAAATGGAACTAAATATAAATATACCTAATTGGCTACATACCTAGAATAAACTAGTGAAATTTTTAATAGTGTTATGTTATATGTATTATAGTTTTTTTATAATCGGTCCATAATTTAAACTTTGATTTAATATGGCCTAGGCACTTAAAAATTGTTTAGAACAATCGAGTTCGGATATTTATGGCAAAGGCCCTAAAAATTCATTATTAACTACTTTGGACCAATACAAAATGGACTTGTCAGATCAATCTAACCTCACTTTTAATGATTTTTATAATAATAATTATTGTTTGTTTTATATATCACAAATACAATGTTGCCCAATGACAAATATAATAATAATAATAATAATAATAATAATAATAATAATAATTGAGCTCAGCACAAAAAGACTTATTGGCCTAATTACATTAATAACTATGTTACTTATAAGTATAAATATAAACAATAGTTACTGCAGTAAGTCATGACTTACTTTAATTTCATCTGCATATGTATCTACATACTAATTCAATTTGTAGATAAAAATTTTAATGAATTGTCGAAACATTTAAAATAAGAACAAAAACCATGCAGAAACAATGTTGCAATCGCCAGTCCAAAACCCTCATGAGTTTTGTGGACAATCAAGAAAAACTGTTGGTTGTGTGATGCTTTTAAATTAAAGTGAAATTACACAAAAGCGAAAAAAATGCTTTAACTCTTTCTTGATGATGATACAAACATAAAATATTATTCTACGAAATTACAGCAAAATTGCCATGGTTACGGTTATATTGTAACCGTTACAACGTTGTTCCAGCATAACATTTATTTACTAATACTAAATATGCTACACAATTTTTATTGTATCGCTTCCTAACATAATTAAATATGCCATGCCATACATACATATTTTAATTAAAGGAAGAATTGACTTTATATTTTGTATTAAAATTACTTTATATTAATTAATATCTCAAGATAGTTTTTGACAATTTTTTAATGGTATGTGTTAAATCTAATGCATGAATTTTATATATAAAATCTATAGCATTTTAGAACACAGTACCACTTTATGTTTATGCTTGAAGAATGTAGCGATAGTAATTTATAAATATACCCATAGACAACGTTACTTACATTGTATTTAATTTAAAAAGAAACTATTTTAAAATAAAAAAATTAATAGTCCTAATCAGTAGGAACTAAAATAAAATAAAACTTATTTATTATTAAAGGCTTTAAAAGTTAGGCTTATTTTATTTGATAAAAGATCATTAATATTTTTAATTAATTTCCCATATTTTATCAAAATATTATTGTTATGAGTTTCCAATAATATTATTAAATTATGTACAGTTACGGAAAGAAGTAATGTCCATTTGAATGCTCCATTGTAATTGTTCGGAGGCATTCGGGTTTTGGTAATAAAATTAACATATCTATTTTTAAACTCAATAATTCTACCTACCTGCTATTTACCATTCTTTCTAGGCACATTTCATTTGACTTTTAAGCTTTTATGCAATAATTAAATATTTAAGGAATAACATTGATTCTGAAATAGTTTAAATATAATATAATATATTATGTTCTATAACTTATTAAATAAACTATATATTATTTAATAAGTTGTTATTAATAAAATAATATATCTAAATGAAATATAGACATTTAATACTAAAATAATTATAAACTTTTGCATAATTTTGCAAATAAAATTGTTAATAACCCTCTTTAATGTATTTACCTTTTTATGTGATTTTTTGTTATCTGGGCAATATAAATTAAAATATTTATTCTTACTATGTAAATTAAACACATTAAATTTTAAACTAAAATGCATTTTGTGCACTATTAATACGTTTTTCTACTTCTATTGCATATTATTGATATTTTTTGTTTTTTTTTGCGTAAATAATGGTAACCAATATAACCGCCCGGTCTATCAAAGTGAATTATATTTACTTTGTAGGTATCAGTGATTGGCTTATTTTAATATTAACTGATATTTGAAACAATCGGGTTTTAAATTAGAAAAAAGTAAGGTTGACAGATGTCAGATTTATTTATATATACGAGGGGCGACTATAATGATCTTTAAAATAGAAGAAAAGTGAGGTTATAATAAATAGATTTTGTTATCAATGAAAATTTCTTAATTGGAGTAGAACAAACATAGTATTACACTCGAAATAATGCGCATTATTTACTCGGATGAATTACGTCTCTCGGCTGACGGCTCGACATGCAAACCTTATCCTTTTGAATAATAGCCTGCATTATCTCTCGTATGATAATATACTATTATCAACATTTTAGTTTTCATTTCTTGTTTTATGAAATATCTGCCCAATACCAACTTATTTCAATGTATAAAAATCCAATAAAATATGGAAACGGCAAAAATTTATAATTATTATAATAATTGAACTTGGTATTCCCAAAGGGTCTAAGTGTCAAAAATAAAATTGTGTGAAATCAATGAAAATCCATTCATCTTTAAAATACAAAAATAATATGGAAAATATTTTTTTAGTCTTTTTGCATGGCACATAGACTATTTTTAAATGATAATATAATATTTGACCAAATTGGGTCCAAACCCTTTGGGAATGCCATGCTTCAATTATAATTATTAATGTAATTATTTACCATTTCTTTTTAAATAAAAAGGCAGCTTTTTTTGCTTATGGTTTTAGATAATATTTTCCTAAAAAAGGGTCCTACTAAATTTTACCATAAATTTTGTTTTGCTGAAAAAGTTTGAAAATCTTGAAAATTTCTATAAATTCAACTTTTACCTTGAATACCTTTTAAAAGAGCCCTACCAAAATTTGTTTTAGTTTTACTAATCCGTTTACGAGTTTATACAATTTTAAAGTATTTTTAAAAATCTCATATTATTTTAATGGGAAATAAAAATTCCCGATGAGGGACCTGTAAATGTAATATTAAGAGCTTGCATTTTAACAGGACCATTTTTTGGTATTTATACTTATAAGTCTAATAATTATATAATATTTTTTATCAAATATTTAATAATTTGTCCTACGTTTAAAATATTAATATGAAATTAAATTAAAATACTTTTTAACATTTTAGTCCGGAAGAACTTCGGCTATAAAATTTATTACCTACTTTTATGATATAATTTATATATTTTCTGTTTATACATCTATAGGTATTGTAATCTTTTCTTATTAAGCCGGATGAGGATTAGCCCTTTCGGCAAGTATTAACTTATACCTCTAATTATGCCTAAATACGCGACGTGTGCGCCGATGATAATTTTAACGGCGCCGGAGTATATTATTATAACTTTAAAGAATAAATATTTTAAAATTTTTTACACATTAACCTACATATAATAAAAGAGCAATAAATAAATATGAAGAAATATATAATATATATTTTATAATTTTATAGCTATTTCTGTTTATATGTTTTATAGTTTTTATATGTAAGTTATAGTTTTATAGGTATGTTAACTTTTATATTATAATTATATTAAACATTTTTTGATAAATCCTACTATATTTAATTTAAAAATATACCAAATATAAAAATTTTAATTATTATTGACTGCTTTTTCACTTGTACCGTGGTTAACTATGGAATACCATGGTATCCCAAAATTTAACAGCCAATTCTTATGTAAAATTGTCCCCTGAATCCGAAAATACATCAATAATTATGAAAGTGAAGCAGTTTATGAGATATAGTCAATTCCATATTAAACAGAAAATTGACTATATCTCAAAAACTATTCTACTTTTTTAACTTTCGACGGTATTATTGGATTCAGGGGATAATTTTACATAAGAATTGGCTATTTAGTTTTGGGATACCATGGTACAAGTGAAAAAGCAGCCACTATTAACTATTAAATTAGTAATTTTTGACTAATTCATTTTTAGAGAGTATGTTTTTAATTTTAACACATAAAAGTGCAACAAATAATAAAATTTGTTTTTACTCCTAAAATAGTGTATTGAATCATTTCTAGTTCTGAAAAATGTAAAGTAAGTTTTAAAAACTACAACTTGATAATATAATTTATAGCCTAAAAAGTTCTTATTAAAAGTTTTTTCCTAGAATAAATGTTTATAAAACTATACAAAAATATATCAAAAAATTAACGATTTAATAAAAATACAGTTAAATATGTAACATAGGTACCCAAAATAATTAATTCAATACGAGCAGGTAGTAAATTCTAAATATAAACATATTTTTAAATAAATCCCTAAGAGGCAGATGTTGACCATTTCCGAATGCCTCCGAACAATTACAATGGAGCATTCAAATGGACATTACTTCTTTCCGTAACTGTACAGTATTGCATACTCAAGTTCTTCCAAGAATCCATTACATATTGTTGATTACAAAATTATTAATTTTACATATTTATTCACTAAACACTAAACATTAGGTAATTATTGTTTTTATTAACTCCGTTCCAACTCTTTCAAATAGATACAGAAACAGGAATTCTTAATTACCTACTCGTTAAGATTCAATTGAGTTACATATAGTTTGAGCTTATTAGGATTTAGTCACAAGATTAGTTAAACTTTAGATACGACAAAAGGTTTAACTTACAAATAACCCTAAAGTATGACGTCACCCTTTGCTGATAAGTATGTCAAATAAGAACTATAACTAAATACAAAGAATGTAGTACGTGTATATTTAAAATTTTGTATTTTAAGAATCTCCCTCCCTAAAGACATTTTGACAAAACAGTTTTTAAGGTCATAAAACTTGGCAACCAACTCATGTTTTAGACTTCGTTTATGATATTCATCAATAAAGTGCTTTAAACAAATTCGTAACAAGAAACTTCGCTTTCATAATCTGATCGAAAAAGCGTTCGTAAAATCTGTCGAACAATTGTCTCTTTCATCATTTTAACAATATTAGATTATACTAAAATAAGAATATAATCACAAGGTTACGTTACAAATATAGCTGATGTCTGCTCGCGATCATATATAAATAAACAATTTTTTTTTCTTGTATTCTGAATTGTACTTAATACAAAAATTTTTTTTAGTGACTGTGATACACTAACCCATCTTCTTAAAGCTGCATTAGGCACAGGTATTCTGGCGATGCCCGCGGCATTTAAAGCATCTGGATTGATCACGGGAATATTTGCCACAATCGTAGTTTCCATGATATGCACGCACTGTGCATACATCTTGGTGAGAATAAATGAAAATTAACGTTTCAATGTTTTAATTTTGTAAATTTATTATAGGTTGCATGTGCACATGAGTTATACAAAAAATGCGGTGTTTCCAGTATGGGTTTTGCTGATGTCGCAGAACAGGCCTGTTTAAAAGGACCCAAGTGGGCCAGAAAGTTTGCTTTTTCAGCAAGGTATGTTATTTTGCGGACTTTAAGAATGTTATTACAAAGAATACATACCTAGATAACGAAAAATCAATTTTTTAAATTGGTTTGTCCTGTGGTCAAAATAGTTACAAATTTTTAGTAACTAGTTGTGTTAAGATACAAAGATACATCTTTTAATTGAATACCTATATCTGTACCTCAGAGCCATCAGGAGTTAAGTCCAAAAAGTTAATTATGCGTTGCGGTCATTTAAAGATGAGCCAGTGTTTTATTTTACTATATAACTTACAATTTTCCTAAATGTACATTTATTGGAAAATTATAAGTTATATAGTAAAATAAAACACCGGCTCATCTTTAAATGACCGCAACGCATAATTAACTTTTTGGACTTAACTCCTGATGGCTCTGAGGTACAGATATGTGTATACACATATAACATTATTTATTGAAACACTAAAAACCCGTCCACTTCCACCTCTCTGTGGTACACAATTTTCAATTTCTGAACCATTCCTTCCTGAATATATATCCTTAATATGCCAATAATATGTCAACGCCAACGTCGATGTACTATTTAAAATTAAATAATTTCTAATAAAACCTCACGGGCTACTTTGACAACAACAATTGGTATTTTTGTCACATCAATAAGTAGTGCCAGGAACTATAGTGAGCAATATTCTGCACATAAAATATTATTTTCAAAAGTTTATTGAGTACATTACTATTTTGCGTATCAATGGTTATTGTTTTATTTTCTCTGTGTAAGGAAGCAAAAAATAATTTGTATCTAAAAGTATCAGATACATGTTTAAGGTAACTGTATCTGTAACTACCCAACTAGCATTTATGGTGGCAGATACGTAACTGCCACTATCAAAGCCACTACAAAGGGGGCGGTGACCATCGGCGGCTACGTTGTATATTCGTAGCTGCTAAGTAACTGCGACCAAAATGGGGAAAGATTTTGAGTAGCCGGGTAGTGTCTTGGGTAGTTTTTGCCACTAAAAGAGTTACTACGATATGGCACTATAAAGTAGCCTACCGTTGAATGCGACTTATCTGTTACGAAGCTGCCCAGTCGCGAGTTCGTGGCAGCCTAGTGTTTTGCCACCGACATGTAGAACTTTCATTAAACTGTTAAACTTTATTCGCAGCGACCTCTTCAGTTTCACACTTTATAAAAATAAATGTCATGATGGAAAGTAATTATGGAAGCCATTATTATTTTTTTGTTATTTACCATGCGATTTTAACGCCTTTTGTGGGTCAATTCCAAAACGCAATCGACTTTACTGAATAAAATAGTGGGTTTATATGACAAAATTTTCGAGCGCCTTTCAAAACATTTTAAATTATTAAATTATTTGCAATAGAAACTCATGTAGTAATTAAAAAAAAAATTAATTTGCTTAAAACTGGCGTGAAACTTTAAAATATTAGTCCACCGTCACAAATAACAAAATATCTAAGGAAAAAATCTTTAGTTTAGGTATATTTAGCTTAAAAACGCAAAATGTTTGAGCCATTTGGCTGTTCGTCTGAAAAGTCATGAAAAAAATATGGCCGTTTAATCCGAAAAATACTTTATAGTTCCATATGCTTCCACAAAGTACCGGGAACAATAATATATTAGGCCAACCCTACCCGTTTGGAACTTTAAAATCTTCGGATTGATAAAGTGACAATTGCAACTACCCAGAGACGACTTTATGGAAACAATAACTTTTTGGGAACTACATGGTCCACGATTCTTTGGAACATAAAGTGATTTTTTCCAAGAAAGTTCCCTGCGCCACTAAATTGCCACTTAATTGCAGCGTTTATGCTACACCGATCGCGGCGTGCCACTATAACGTTCCGCCTTGTCCTTTGAAGTTCCCGTTTGGCGACGCGAGAATCATATTTTTTGTAAAATGCAAATTGAATATTATCAAACCTAATGTTTTACTGGTTATTGCAATTCTTATGATCACATGACAATTATTCATTTATTTTCAAAAAAATTAATTATTATAAAAAAACAGGACCCACACCGTTTATGACGTCACTTCCGTCTCGTGTCGTTTTTTCTAGGTTTATTAATTACTCTCTTAAATCTTGAAACGTTCTCTTCCACTTAATCTTCGAATCCACGACTTAAGTAGAGAGCATACAATATTCATTTTTACATAGCCCAAATACCTACAAGTAAGGCAGAATGAATAACATTCATCAGCCCAAGATTTGAACGCTTGACTCAGGTGTAGAAATCAGAAAATACATCAACTTTGACTGCAAATACTTCAGGGAAGTATTGATAAACTTGACCCATTAAAAATATTTAGCACCTTGAATTTCTTATATTAAATTCCTATTCATTACAAAATATTTAAAGACTATTAAGGTGAAAACGTTCACGTAAGATAGAATTAATAATATTCATCAGCACCTCGATCAGAACGAGATTTGAACACTTGACTCAGGTATAGAAGTCAGAACATGCATCAACTTTGAATGTGAATAGGTACTTCAAACTGTTTGAATCAAACAGCTTTAAAAATGTCACTACCTGATTTATGATGTTCATCAGTACGATTATAGAAAGATGTAGTTTTTGTTTCTGATGTTGATGCTTCGGCTCCCAGTGATTCCTTTTGTTTAATTCTTTGATATAAAGTACTAGAATATCTAAATTTCTTTTTATTTACCTTAAGCATTTTACAGAATTTTAATAAAGCTTAAAAGCAAGAAAAGAAAACACCAAAACAGAGCAGCACACTATAGTGCGTAACATATATGCATATATGCAATCTGAGGCAATTACATTTATTAGGGTATATTAAGTTATGGTCACTATTAAGTAGCCATTTTTGATCCCCGCGACTTTTTAGTGGCAAAGGATAAGAGACGGCTACTTTATAGTGACCTAGGAAGGTCGCAGTAACCATTTTGTTACTTTCAATGCTACTATAAATTAGAGGTAACCAGGTGTCGTGGCCGCGACTACCCCGTAACTTAAATTGTTACTATAAAGTAACAAAAACTTAATGGAGGCATTATGGTAGCACTTGTTGGTGACCGCTACTTTAAAAAGTTACTATAAAGTTTTTGGTCTTTTATGGTGTCATATTCGAAGATTCAGGTAGTTCCAGCCACTTCTTTAAATTACATGTTTGCCACTTGCAATCGGTGTGTTTATTTTCCACTTTTATGGTAGGTAGGCACTAACCAGTCACTCTCGAAATATACTTCAAAGTGACTATTCCTTATAGAGTAACATTTTAAGTGGCAGGGTGGGTCTAGGAACTATACTTTAGGGGCAGTGACATTTAAAAAGGACTGGGAACTATATTTGCTATAGTTACTGCACTAAAATATGTATCTGTATCTACTTACAAATTTTGGTAAGAAACTGTAACTGTAACTAGATACTGAAAATGATGTAACTGTTACAACACTTTTAACATGTTAAGTTCCCAGGAATACCGAAGTTATAACGATTTTGGTTTTAACAGGTTTAAATTATTTGAGAACCGCTGTTTTTTTATACAATTTTTAAATGCCATTTTAATGGACTTGTAATTACGCAACTTTTGTGTATCTCTTCAAATAAAAAAGATACATACATAGAAGGAAACTGTATAATAGTTGTATACAATAGTTGAATCGGTGAGATTAAGAACAGTACAAGTCCAAAAGTTAATAGTTCATATACATTTTAATATAGTTCAAAACACATTTTTGGAAGAATATTTTAACTACTTTATAAAATATAATAATCATAATTTATAATATAATTTATATCTTCTCACAAAATGCATTTTAAACTTTTAAATCGGTTTTAACAAATGATTTGTACAAAAAAATGTTTGGACTTGAACTGTTCTTAATCTCACCGATTCAATTGTATACTAAAGTTTTATAAATAATTTATTATTAAGAGTTTATAGGTATTATATATTTATTATTTTAAATAAATAATAAATATTTTTTGTCTCTTGTTAAATTTAAATTTAAAAAAAGTTTAAATTAATTAATTTACCCTAATTTGTAATGGGTCTACAATACCTATCTATGTGGACTAGGGTGGTCCAAAAAAGTGAAGTTGATTTTACAGATTGTCTCACCCCCCAATTTTTTTACCTCCAACATCAATAAAAAATTCCCAAAATTTTAGGCCCCTAGGTGTATTAGAAGGGAGTGCTCATTAGCTAAGAGATTTCAGTTTTTTTTAACTTATTTAAAAAAACCATTACGCCATCTTTTCACTGGTTAGATAAAATGTTATGCCCTATATATTAATGTAACAATTACCAAAGAATATTATTTACCTAAACATATATTTCTTACAAACTAGTTCTATCAGCTAATCCCGCACCTTTTCCTAAGAAACTAAAAACTACACTTTACAGTTTAAATGTCATAAGTGCTTTGGATAGGAAGAATGTCTCAGACCGTGAAGTTCTAAGGCTTATAATACCGATTGCGATAGCACTGGGAAAATATCCGCATGAAATGCCGTCTCGCAGCATGCTAGCACTATTTGCCGGAGACGAAAACATGAAAGGAAGAAAAGATATGAAACAAAGTTTTTCTTGTCAAGGTTTAGTTTTTGTTCATTGGGATGGTAAAATTCTTCCTGATTACCACTGCTTAACCAAAGTAGAACGTTTACTAGTACTATAGTACTGGTAAACGTTCTACTTTGGTTAAGCAGTGGTAATCAGGAAGAATTTTACCATCCCAATGAACAAAAACTAAACCTTGACAAGAAAAACTTTGTTTCATACAGTTTCAGCAGATGGAAATGAAAAGTTATTAGGAGTACAGCAAATGAAGTCGGAAACGTACTTCGAGAATGGAATCTGGTGGATAAAGTATAAGCAATGTGTTTTGACACAACATCTGTAAATACTGGAATGAATGCTGCGTTTTGCTTGAGAAAAAATTGGCAGATACTTACTTTGGTTAGTCTGCAGTCATCATGTTTTGGAAATAATTCTTAGTAAGGTTTTCAAGTTGTGCTGGTTTCCGGATATTCCAATTTCTAATCGATTTAAAATAATTTGGGTACCTATTGATCGTATCTGCTTCAAGTCCTCAGACCTAGAATCGTCGAAGAATTTTGAATTTTACAAAAACTCCACAATCCCCTTGTTGCTAGCTGCATTGAAACAAAAGTCTCAACGTTATGACGACTACTTGGAACTGATCGAGTTGGCTTTGGTCGTTTTGGTGAAATCTGGATCAAGGCACCGTGTGCCACTAAAGCTACTATGTCCGACCTAACTTTTTGGAAAGATTTAGAACGCTATGAGGAGATTGGGAAAAGCGAGGTTGCTAGAGATACTCTGAAACATCATCTTTGGTACTTATCCAATGAACTCGTAATAATATTAATACCAACAATAATAATAATAATAATAATCATAATATTAATATGGCCTTTGTCTACGCAATAAATTATTTCTTTCTTAAATTTTTTCAAGGTCGACTGTGTGTTGTAAAACATCGAGTTGTAAATGATATAGCGGAAAGATGGGTAAAACTATTTTAAGAGCATAATCAATTATAAAAAATGAGGACGAAAAGCAAGACTTGTTACAAATCGTATAAGCGAATCGGAAATCTGTTCCGACAAAAACCACAAAAAAAGCTGCAATTTATGCTACTAAGAGTTCTGGACCATGATTTTCATGTGGATATATTGTCTTCAGATTCATTCTATCATAGCTGTGAGCACTCCCTTCTAATTAAGCTAGAGGGTTCAAATTTTCTAAAATAACTTTTTTTACTTTATTTAAAAAAATTAGAGGGTGAGAATAAGTCTATTTACAACTTCACTTTTTTAATTCGTTTCTGGACCACCCTAATGTGGACCCATTACAAATTAGGTCAACATATAATTCGTATTAATACAAAAAAGTCTACTAAAAATCAACGAAACTTGAGACTTGCGGACTTGTTTTATCCGATTTTAATAAAATAATCCGATTTAATCAAATAAAATCAACCCTGAATTAAATATTTAAATTAAAATCAATATTGATTGACATAATTATATTTAAATACAAATTCAAAACTTAAAAACAATATAATAGATTCAAAAAAATTTTGATAAAACATTTATTGCAAGTAAGATTATTTTTTTCATGCATCTATAACTAAGTAATTACAGCTGGATAGGTACTTAAATGGATTTATATTTAAAAGACAAATGACAAAAATTGACTATATATAGTCAGTATACCTATAGGTATACCCACAATCCATTGTGGGTATACCTAATATAAAAATTACCTATTTATTTACTAATAATAATTAGTACATCAGGTGTATAACACAATTAGCTCAAAATTTCGGCAAAACATAGACATGAACAAACGGGTTGTTTTGGTTAGTTTTCTGTCAGAAATAAGTAAACAAACGCTAGGGTTAGCAGATCACTTACTCGATCGTATGGTAATAATTTATTTTTTCAGGCTATTGGTCTTAGTTGGCATCTTCATAACCTATTATGCGACATGCAGTTGCTACGCAGTTATCGTTGCGACAAATATAAACTTCGTAGCCAAAGAGTACATGGTTGAGCCACCCAGTCTCAGGTTGACAATAAGTCTTCTGCTTGTTCCCCTAATCCTATTGGCTTACGTGCCGAACTTAAAGTACTTGGCCCCCATTTCCATGGTAGCCAACGCTTTCATGGCAGTAGGATTGGGCATAACCTTCTATTATTTGGTAAATGGTTTGCCAAATATAAGTGACGTTGTCACCGAACCCGAGTACATGGGATCTTTACATACTTTCCCAGTTTTCTTCAGTATTACTATTTTTGCTATTGAAGCCATTGGTGTTGTAAGTTTATTCAAGTTTTTTTATATTATTGGTATGTTAATTCATTTATTTTTAAGGTTATGCCATTGGAAAATAACATGCAAACACCAAACCATTTTGTAGGCTTATGTGGAGTTTTAAACCAAGGCATGAGTGCTGTTACTCTTGTATACATTTTGTTAGGTTTCCTTGGATTTTTAAGATACGGAAAAGAAACCAAAGGCTCTATTACTTTGAATCTACCTTCAACAGAACCGTAAGTAAATTTTAATAGAAAAAATAAAATTTTAGAAATATTCCTAATTTCATACATGTATAAAAACGTCCTTATAAGTAAACAAAAAACAAGGAGCAAAAATGTGTTTTAGCTACTTTAGAATATTTGTAAAAGTAATTTTTGATGCTCAATAAATTTCGACCATGTCATTTAAAAAAAAATCAGAAATGATATTCATTGTAACTGCAACGTTTGTATTCTTTTGGGTCCGTTTCATGTTTACAATATATTATAATAATAATAATCGCATTTATCCCAAATAAATTTTAATTTTTTTTTACTTATATCGACGCAAACATTTTTGTAGAGAATAAAATTTCCAACAAAGTTTCATAAAAAGTATTCAATGTCAAGGTGAAGCTCTAAATTAATAAAAAAAATCTTCCATTGACCGTTATTTATAAATTTGAATGTATTTATATTTTAAAAAAATGACGAATAGATAAGCTTCATGTATTTGGTTTGCACCAAATAATGCAATTTCTTTTCTAGTGCCGCACAAGCTGTCAATATTCTCATCGCTTTGGCAGTGTACTGCACCTTTGGTCTTCAATTTTATGTATGTCTGGATCTGGCCTGGAATGGAATAAAAGAAAAATTTGAAAAGCATTCACTACTAGCCAATTACATTCTGAGAACTGTACTTGTTGTTGTTTGTGTTCTGATAGCTGTGGCAAACCCAACAATTATTCCATTTGTAGGATTGATTGGAGCCTTCTGCTTTTCAATTCTGGGAATAATAACTCCAATTTTACTCGAAATGCTTACATTCTGGGACAAAGGTTTTGGAAAATACAACTGGAAAATATTGAAGAATATCATTGTAGTTTTGGCTGGCGTTTTTGCTCTCATATTTGGATCAGAACAAGCTATTTTAGATATTGTAAGATTATATGTGCCTTCAGCTAATGAAACCAGTGCATCCAATGCAACTCTTTTAGTGGATTTATTAAATGCAACCACATTAAGCCCATTAAACATTACTCAAACCGCTTGAGTCCAACATAGAGTTTCAGTTCCTATACTTGGTTTAAATTATTAAGAAATAGTTTCATTTCTTTAATTTAAAAGATACGCCTAGTTTTTATTATTTTTTTTGTGAATTTTAAAAGCATTTATTTATTTAATTCTAATATTATTATTATACTTTAATTTAAATTATTTATCTTCATAATTTTTTTTTAAAAACACCAATACTTTAGTATAGAGAGCACAATTTTATGTGTTAGTTGATTTTACAGTTAAAGCTTACAAGCTGTGATTCTAAATGACGTTTTTAAAATGAGCAATGTTGGTTAAATATTTATTTTTAAATATTGTTTATAAAAAAACTAAAAAACGTTTAGGTAACCAATTTCCAGTGCCTTTTCTATAACTGTGTAGCTACAGGGAATTTTGAATAAAATGCTGGATTAGTTATATTTTTACATTTTAAGTTAAATAAGACATTTTTACATTTTACCTATAGATTAAGTATTTTTTTAATCAGATGTGTAATATAAGTAGATTTTATTTTTTAATTTAAATATTATCTGATTAATATATTAAAAAATTGTTTTATGATTAATTCATTTAAACTATAAGATTCAAAATAATTGTTAAAATTAATAATACAATTTTTATGTTTTTTTACTACAATTTTTTATTTAGAAATTATTACTAAAACTCCCCACTTTTTCCTAACCAGTTTTCTTCGTTTTGGTCAATAGAAGTCAGAATCATATATATATAACAAAAACAAATTGTAAATTTTAGCGAAAATTAACAGAATGGTTTTACAAGTAGATGAGGCGGGCTTGAGCTCAATTCCGCGCGCGCGAATTGCAGTGCTACAGATAGACTTTCCATAACGCAACCATAACGTTAGTAATTAGGTACTTGTTCTAAAAAACCAAAACAAACAAAAATTCTCTACCATAACCATTACTTAACTATAACAACCAAAAGGTTACTAATATAATTTTATATTACCTTACTGCATCAGTATATCTGACGCACTAATGTCAAGCGCTTATTTCTTAAAATTTACTTCATCCCAGCACTTTCTAAGATTCTTGCTAATACAGATCTGTGTAGAATTTAATGCCCAATTTTTGTGTCCAATAAGTTTTTATGTCCGACCCTGCGTTTTTTAAATATTTAGAAAAATTTGAACACAAAAAGTGTGCAGCAACATACTAAAAATGGAAAAATGTGTATATTTAGTTCAACCCATTTGACGATGAGGGCGTTGCGATAATATACGTTTTCCAATATACGTGTTTTTAAATACTGTATGTTGTTGCGTCGCACAATTTGGCAACGTCTCGCCTATGATTTTAATATTTGAATTAAACTCACGATACTGTTGCGAATGGTAACGCTGTCTCTCTCGCACCGGGTGACGTCACGATTAAATGTAATCATATTATAATCTTGGGGCGCGCGTCGAGTTTTATGAAATTTGCAATTATGACGGTCGATTTATTAAAACCCCAACTAGCAAAATAAATCCCTTAAAGAACTGAATTGTTTTATAACTATCGTCTAGAGCTGCAAAAAGAACATTTTTATTGTTTAATGCGTCTTAATACAATAATTTTATCGTAAAAACGACGAAATTCTAATACATTATTGTATATATATTCTTACAACTCGTGTTATAGAACCAAACTCATACACATTTTTTAACCATTGTATAACGTTTTATACAATCCCTTATAAAATTATTTTAAAAGAGTTGTATAAAAGTTATAATAGAGTTGTATACTTATTACACACTGGGAAAAATAATATTTCTACAATGTTACTGAACGTTACATTTGTTAAATGTAATGTTACAAAAATCCTTGTGGCAATGTTGCAGGAACATTGCAACAAAGCCTTATGTCCGGCTCAGGAACATTACATTTACAAATAAAATGTTGCTTAAATTAATTAATTGCAATGTTACTAAATGTTATTTTTGTTAATGTAAGGTTTCTGCAACATTACATTTGTTAGGTATAATGTTACAAAAAACCTTGTGGCAATGTTGCAGGAACATTGCAACAAAGCCTTATGGTTCAGAAACATTACATTTACAAATAAAATGTTGCTTAAATATATTAATTGCAATGTTACTAAATGTTATTTTTGTTAATGAAAGGTTCCTGCAACATTACAGGAACATTGCAATTAAATTAATATGAATTATTATTGTAATAATTAATTATAATTATTTATCCTATTATATATAACAGACTGTTTCGACCTGTTTGGTCTCATCAGTGTCAGGCAGTCGGTGACGGGAGACACGCATCAAGCTCGGCAATGTTCACTTATAAAGATATAAATGACCAAGACAGCGGCGAGATGCATCGGCAAGTCAGTCTGCAAACAACATTGCAAAAATTATCTTAATGTAATATTATAGTTACAATGTTCCAAAAATCTTGCAAAATAAATGTTTATATTGTTTATATAATGCAACATTTCAAAAATCATCTTAATGTAATATTTAGGATGAAAAATTGCCCAAAACTTATCAATGTAATATAATAATTGCAATGTTTTAAAAATATTCCTAAACATTCCAAAATAAATGTTTCTATTGTATATTTATAAAGTAAAGTTGCAAACATTTTTCATTTGAAACTTGTGTTAATATTTCAATTGAAACATTGAAAAAAAGTTATGTCTGCAATATTATAATTGTAATGTTTAAAAACTTTTATGCAACATTTTATACTAAATGTTACAAATATAACATTGTAAAAACTTTCCATGTGAATCTTTAAATAATGTTTTAAATTTAAGGTTGTTGGAAATTATTATATGCAATATTTCAAATGTAACATTTCATTTATGTTAATGCAAGTAGCACAGGAAATATTTTATTTGTAAAGTCGGCGAACATTGCAGCAATATTTTGTAAGGTTTCTTTCCCAGTGGGTATTATACTTGTACTTTCAACGTTTTATGATAGTTGTAATAGAATTTGTATAAAAGTTGTATTGAAGCTCTATAAGATACATTAAAAAATTGTTTTTTTAAGCAGAAGTAAACACACTACACAATAAGTATAAAGTTATTTTATAATTATCCTATAACTACACCGATTAACTTCTTTATAGAAAGTTTATAAAATAAAATTATCGCAAGTTCTGCGTTATAATTTTATTACTTAAGTCTGTTTATACATTTAGTGTCTTATTACGCCAAAATAAGTTAAGTATTTTTTTAAAATGGAGTCGCAATGGAAAAAAATTAAGAAAAGTGGGCATTTAAAAAAAAATAAAAATAGGTTAGGTCACATGTAGATAAAGAAGGTACCGCTAAAAAGTGGATAAAACAGAACACAATTGTATAGTGCGGTACAATGCATACCTTAAGCGATATTATTGTTCTATTGCGCAGTAGGCAAAGGCGTTATAGCCAATACGAGAAATGAACTTACAGGGTTGTTATTTTAGGCAGCAGTGTTACCTACAAATCCTTATTTGCATAAAAAATGAAGGTAACGTCGTGCAGGATAAATAAAATTTTACTTGATGTACAATTGGCGTCTCCGAAATGTGAACGATTTTTTGTTGTCATGGATTTTTTTCATAAAATTTATTCGTTCATTCCTGGCTTCGGCCAGTGGTGTTACATATAGAAGGGAGAATACTAAGAATAAGAACAATATCCTAAATCGTTCTATTTTTTTAATAATATTTTAACAAACAATAATATAAACAATATAACAAATAAATTAACTTTAATTTGGTTTTATACAACAATATAAATTAACAAGTAGGTAAATACACAATAAAAATAACATAACTAAATTAACATATTGCTCAAGAAAATTGGTTTTTAAGTGAAATAGCGGCAGATTTAAATGTCAGTAAAAGCTGCATATTTTATATCAAAAAACGTTGGCAAAAACAACAAAGATTGAGAAGACTTATCAGGCAAGGTGTAGGTAAAATCTCCAACGAAAATGAAGACAATGCTCTTGTCGCACTTATTAGGCAAAATCCTTTCAATAGCGCATTTAAGGCCCGAGAAGATACACAATTTCCAGGATCTCTTCGAACAGCTCAAAAAAGATTGAAACAAGCTGGCTTAAAAAACTGTGCTGCTAAGCTATTTTAATACTTAATTGCAGAGCCATTAGCTGCCACAACCCTTTGCAACCTTCTTGGCATGGACATTATTAGCTCACGCATGTCGTATGAATCAGCAAGCTCATCCCAAGAATTTTCAACAGCACTCCATAGTTCATCTCGGTTTGCTGGCCTAAAGTCCCGTTGATATATATTTTTAACTATAAAACCCCACACGTTTTCAATGGGGTTTAAGTCAGGGCTTCTAGCTGGCCATGGCAAAACAGTTATGTGGTTGTTGTTTACCCACTCTGTAACCACGCGAGCTGTGTGAACTGGTGCATTGTCCTGTAATATAATATTTATTAGAATCGTTTTTGAATACTATACAGTTTTCTTACATGTTGAAATATAAAGTTTTCTGGAAACACATAACTAACTGAAGGTAGCATAACGTTGTCCAAAATCCTGGTATAGTGCTCAGCCGTTAATCTACCATCAATTTCCCAACATACTCCCGGACCATGGATGCTTATCCACGCCCAAACATTTATGGAAAAGCGTCCACTATTTGAGGTTTTTAATGTATAGTTCTCCTCAAATCTTGCGTTTCTTGGACGATATACACGCAGCCTTCCATTATTGCAAGATTGGAACGTTTTTTCATCCGAAAATATAACATTATTCCAAAAATCTTCTCCATAATTTAAATAGTCATTGGCGAACTGGACTCTCCTGCGCTTATTTTCTTCAGTTAAAAAAACCTTATGAGCAGCAGCACAGTTTTTTAAATCAGCTTGTTTCAATCTTTTTTGAGCTTTTGAGATCCTGGAAATTGTGTATCTTCTCGGGCCTTAACTGCGCTATTGAAAGGATTTTGCCTAATATGTGCGACAAGAGCATTGTCTTCATTTTCGTTGGAGATTTTTCCTACACCTTGCCTGATAGGTCTTCTTAATCTTTGTTGTTCTTGCCAATGTTTTTTGATATAAAATATGCAGCTTTTACTGACATTTAAATCTGCAGCTACTTCACTTAAAGACCAATTTTCTTCTAATTTGGCTATTGCCCTGGACCTCTGAGCCTCGGTTAAGTGGGGTGGCATTTTTAATATTGCAATTGACAACTATTATCAAATTTGACAACTACCGACGACACTGATGCAAAGCCCATATTACACGATTAAATTTTGCCGTTCACATTTCGGGGACGCCAATTGTACCTAACTGCACCAAAAATGAGTATTTTATTCTAAAAAAAAACAAATAATTTGAAAAATACTTGCTTTACTTTTATAGCGCCTGTATTAAACAACTTTACAGAACCTAAATATCGTATAACGCACGCGACAGAGCAGATAAATTGTATAACGTTTTTATAAAGACAAAACCATTTTATAACGAAAACGCCATATTTATTGACCGATCAATTGTTTATAAATCGCCGCCATTGTGTGAATTTTACCAACAAACGTTAAAACT